GGCAAGAAACACTGCTACGAAGAAGGCGGAAAGGAGCGTTGCTTTGCGACCCGTGCCGCAAGTTGCTACCGCAAAGCTCGTGCCCACGCAGACTGGGTTTCAGGTTAGCAACCGTGTTGAACCCCAGTGCCTACTATCCCCTCAGCCCTGTTAGCCCCATAATCCCACAAACCCGACGATCAACGAAGCAGACCCGACTTCTGCATGGGCGCTGGCTTTGGAAAAATATGTCTGCAAAGGGGTGGAGGTGGGAGGGAAGATGATGTTGGCATAGAAAAATCCCAAAACGTCGGAAACCTGATTAAGGACGATTAAGATTGGATTTCCTTTACAACACTCTACAGCTTTGAGGCTATTGGGCTTTACCGTCGGGTGGAGAGTTTAGGGAGGGGAGATGACTCTCTGTAATGTAGGGGAGGTCATATCTTTAGAATAGGAGTGGGACTGATCTGTATTATTGGGGTACCTACTTTATTGCCTGAAGTCTGTGCAAGGCAATGCTTACAACTTCTTGCCCGTCAAGGCTTGGACATCGCATCTTTCAGTAGGACAAATTCTACACTCTACTGCCCCTCCTACCACGAGCCTGCCATGTGAGCACGCCTGAATCTAACACGCAGACCAGCAGTTGACAAGCAGTGTGAAATGCCAAACCTGAAAATGAAGCGAACCAGCCTCCTCTTTCTCCCTCACCCCCTTGCCAGCTGGACTGTCTCTCAGCATTCACAGGCAGTTTCCGGAAGCCAGTGACCGTAGCCGCGATGACTTGCCATCACTGTGATCCCTGTAGAACTTCAACATGGAACTACATTGGAGAATAGCAGGTGTCGGGATCAGGTTTGACAAGGCTTGCGCAAACAAGACGATTCGTTGCCAACGGACGAAACGTTACATAACAAACTGGTGAAATTTCCGAACGAGCTGCGACGGAAAATGTGGCATGTCGCACATAACATCCAAGTGCGCACGAGAATCCTGCCTCTAGGTTTAGGCATTTGGATTAGATGTACGGGTTCTTATGAAAGCCCTTCCAATCAGTGTAGAACCGGAGAAAACTCTTGAATATCTTACATCAAGAAACATACATAGCCCGTTTGGAGCCCTTCAACACTCCTAAACCCAAAAAACCGAAGAAGGAGTCAAGGCCCACGCCCCCGGGTGCCAGCGCCGCACAGCGCCAAAAATGATGGATGCGAGTTGACCCTCTCCTTGCAGACCGAAAGGACCTTCCTGTCTCAAGCGTCTCAGTCAGTCGCCTAACTGTTCTTGCACACAAACCACACGGGACAACATGCTACTGGCCCAATAGCCGTACAGCAAAAAGGAAGGCCAAATCGTGGGCCCTGTTGGGCCTTTAACATGTCGAAGTTTTCAGAATGTGGGGTTCAGGATTTACGGCTACGGAGTGAGAGGATTTAGAGCCTCAACATGTCTCCAGGTGTCTACAATCCCTACACTCAGACAACCTGGTGCAAAACTCATGTTCGGTAACTCTAAACCCCTACCCCCAAAGCCCCTTAAGCCGAGAATTGCTGTGCTGTCAATTTGTGATTTGTTGGAGAGGGGGGTGGTCCTTACGGCCCGTCTTGCTTCGCAACAGGGCAACTGCACGAATTTCTTGAGCGGCCTCTCCGTTAAGTCTTTCTGTTATTTCACATTACGGCAGTGGGTTGTAAAGGGCTTAATACTGTGCAGGGATTGCCATGAGGTCAACTATTCGGGGTACAGAGCCCTTGGATTTCGTGTCGTGGGCTGTGCTCCGGCGAAGAGCGACGACTATTATATTAAAGTAGCCTTTTTATGTTCGCTTATAGTTTAACTACGACATCATGTCATATTGCATTCTTCTGCATTATACTACAATATGTTAGTACTATACTAAATTAAAGTGCAGACCACGACTGCGAGAAGTGGCTCGGTGAAAGAAGCCGAGAAAGAGCGGAGAGTCGCTCATGTCTTGCTTTGGCGCGGAGGCTTTGCCTGCTTGCCAAGCGTCAATCTTCTTCGGACTATATGGGAGTTTCCGAAAATTAGGGGATCCTAATATAGTACCCTAAATAGTAAGGAACCTACCTATTTTAGGGTTCCCTAATATGATTTCTTTATATAAGTCCCTAAAAAGGTGGGTTATTTGGGGTTAAGGTATAACTTAAAGCTCTTCAGCTATGGAAACCACCGAAGCGCTGTACGACCCAATCAATCGAACACGTGTTGGCAAACCCTGATCGCTACTACCACTACACCCGCTTCAGCAAGCCCCAACCCCAACACAGCACCCAACAGCCGTCTAACCTGAAACCCCCCAAGCCTGAACACCCCAGATCGATAAATCAATAGATATGAAAGGCTCAGACGGCTTGGGCCGGGTGTCAAGGGCTCAATGCAGTCACTTCACTTCTCGTTCTGACCCTGACCCTGACACAACAACTTATGTAACGGAATCTGGTTTCCCTGAATCGCAGCCCTAAATCCTTCGCTCACCGTTTCTATTGGGCCCAGGTGGCCAGGAGCATCACAGGGCAGAATGCCGCATACCGTGCCAGGGGACTGCCTGCTGCAACGGAGTTGCTGTACCATAGCACAGACCAATACGCTATATGTATACATATATAAGTTTTCAGATATACATATATGGAAATGCACTCACAAGTTGTATGTATGGACGTGTGTATGTAAGTATGTGTGTCTGTACGTGTGCGCACACATACGTGTATAGGCATCAAGTGGTGGTTCAGGCTTAACCGTCTTGGGCACATCCTGGCGTTCAGAGCTTATCCTGGCGAACATGTCCGCATACGTCTGTATAGATACACACACAGTGCATATACACACATATATATTTATATGTGCTATATTCATTCATTTGTGTGTATATGATACAACAAGATATACAGATAATCTGAGCTTCCGAAAATGGGGGCGATGTTCTCAGTGGACCTAGAGAGGAGGACTCTTCTAGTGCAGGATCCGTATTAACCTCCCTCGCTGTGGACACTCCCGGTTGAAACAATCAAACCATTTGGCGACAGTTATATGTTTGTACAAAGTTTTGCCGAGATACACGCACATGCACATATGTGTATATGTATATGTGTGTGTGTATGCATGCATGCATGCCTGCATGTATGCATGCATGTATGAATGACATGCATATTTTTTGTTCCTGATACAAACATTGTATGTATCAGGAACAAAACAAAAAAGCCTCTGATGTGCGTCTTTACCCGAGCATACTACACGTGCCCCAATACACCCTCCTGAGTCGTAGCCTGAACCCTTACACTCAACGCTACACTTCTCAACCCCAAACTGCTCAAATTCGTCAGTCTTTTGCACAGAGTCAGCCTTCATCCGACAACCCTAAACCCTGATAGTGCCCTTACAGAAAACCTTCATGGGAACGGAACCATTGTGAGGACACCACAAAGCCACAGATTCTTTTGGCATCGCCGCAGCTGTACACGGACGCCTTGGGCCGCCTTCGTCAGACTCTGACCCTCCTCAGGCTCGCCAGAGAGCACAACTCCCTTCTAGTTTAGTGGTTAGGAGTTTAGGGTTTAGGGCTCCCTTCAGGTCTTCAGGAATTTCGGGGTTAAGATGTAGGGTTCAGAGTGTTAGGGTTCAGGGGCCAGAATTTTTTTGAAAGTTGCTGGGGTCTAGTTGTGTTGGTTCAGGATCAGGGTTCTGTAGTGTTTCATGATGCCCTTAGAGGAATACTATTCTTTCAATCATGCGGAGGAGCCCAAAACCCTCTGGTTTTGTTATGACTAACCAAGAGCCCAACACCCTGTATTCTTTCACTCAATCGGCTTTACAAGGCAGCCATACCCTGAAAGAAAGCCATGAAAGGAAGCCACACCCTGAAAGGGAGAAAGGATTGTTTTGAGGGTTCTCATATTTCAGAGCTGCTGCTTTTCTCAGCCCCTTCTAACTAGGTCTGGAATGTATCGTAAATCATGCACTGGGGCCCAATGTCCGTCAATGCAGCTCCGTAGGCCTTTTGGCGTTGAAGCTAATATTGAGAATTGCTTCGGGCGGATTCCAGGTAAAGGCTGCTATGGTTTTACTGTTGCGGTATGGGCCCTTGACTATTTAATTCTATACCTTAAGCTTTGTATAAAACTGAAAACGATAGCAAGGAACCCGCTATTTCTATTTCAAGGGGCATTCCCTACAAGGGATGTTGGTCTTTCTGACTCACCGGCAGGCCTTGCTTTTGCAGGGCTTGGTTGGGTATTCGGAGGACTCTCGAGACCCCTGAGCATACAGGCACCTCAGCTTTTCAACAAAACAGCGAACCCTGTAAAGACAAGTAGGTTCGGGGCTTCTTAAGTTCATCAGACCACTGAGCTTGCAGGAAGTTCCCAATGCTAAACCCTAAAGGCAGAACTCTAAACCCTAAACTCCTCAACCCGACTGTAGAACCTGAACCCTAAACTGCCCTGAACCGAAAATCTCGGCCGTCTGAGCCGGAGTCATCATCAGTTCAGTGAAGCCCACACGACCCCCAAAAAAGGGAACACCAAGCCGCCGAAATCCAAAGATGTCAAGTTCAGGCTTATTGCGAAACATTTTGTAAACCCTGCAGTTCTTTAGATCGACCCTCCTGCGATGATTTAACGCGAAACCACATGGTCTATATAAACCCTCAAAATCATCATCGTCACCATCAAACCTTCTACATGGCAGTGACCAGTTGTTGTACGCATCTGATTCATCATCGAGCCTCAACACATTGGCACTCTACTACTTGTGCCAAACCCCAACACAACCTCGCAAACAACTCATTGTGTTTGGGTACATGTATAGACTTATTTGTGTGTATCGTTCTGATAAACCATCTGCTTATTTATATGTGCAGGGAACTGTTCAGGTGATCACTTCACTTCCCATGCCTATGATGTAGACACTGTTCAACAACACTTCGGGATGATGCTACGATGAGTCTCCGAGACCGCATCCCGGCTCAGGTGGTTCAGGGGCGCAACCCAGGCGCCACACTAGGCACGGATCGGACACGAAATGCTCCTCGGAGTGACTCTGCAGGCAGTTTCGGGCTATGTGGGTTGAGGGTCCATCATAGTGTTCTGTACGGGTTCTACTGGGTTTTAGACTGTTGGGGTTCCGGGCTTCACTAACCTTTACACTCTGCAAACCGCCTTTTTGCTACAGGACTCAAGTCTAGCCCTTTTGCTGCTGGACTCAAGTCTAACCAGTCTACGACCCGCAATCATCAAGTCTAGCCCTAAACCCGAAACGCTATAACCCTATAAACCCTAAACGGAGCCCCAGGCTGAGACCCAGGATCCCCTCGGAAAGCCGCCATTTCACCCTTGCAAGGAAGGCCTTCTTAAGCCATGGCTATACACCCTTACCAGGCCCTTGGTTATCGATGGCTATAACCCTTAACTCTAAACTCCTCAGACCAAAGCCCTAACGTTACCATGCGCGATCTAACTCTCCAGGGCTCAAAAGCCAGGTAGACCTGAACAGCAAGGGCGTAGGGTGAGAGACTTCGACTTTAGTGTTTGACACTCACACTCGGACAAAGGCTGGCAAGGACTTTACGTGTTTCGGGTTTAGGAAAAGAAGGTGAGATCCTAAACCCAAAGCCCCCAAGGCAACTTCTCAAACCCAACCTCCGGAAGAGCATTCCTGAGCCCTCAAACCCTGAAGCCTGTGACGAAAAATCCCGTAACCCTAAAACCATACTCAGCCCTAAACCCTGAAGACCAAAACGCATTCAAGCTTGCACCAAGCGTCTCCAACGACTCTTGCGAATTGCTCAAGATCTCCTTCACGGGCTTCGGAGCTCCGGTTAAGGGTTTTGGGTTTAGGGGCTAAAGTTGAGTCAACTCCCTTTTTTATGTGTCTAGAGGTTCTAAGCTGAATTTCGGACTTAGGGTTTAGGTTTTCGGGATTTCTGACTTTGCTGGTTTACTCTACACACTAAGCCTTTTGAGTGTCGGGCGGTTGCGGGGTCTTCGGGCCTTGCAGAGACCCCCGCCCTCCCCCGCGTGATTAATCGAAACATTTAGGATGCAAATTTCCCAGGCTGCCGAACACAAGAGATAAGCAACATGCGCGCACACACACACACGTAACTTTCGTGCTTGCTTGTATATGTATAAATATATATATATATATATACACACACACATATAGCATACCCTATGTGTTATATGTATATAATATATGCATACACATACATACATACATACATACATGTATATATATATAGCTATATGTATATATATATGTGTAATTATGTGCATACGTAGGTCCATATGTATATGATTACATACATAAGCTCATACAGACACACACACACACATAGAACTTACTTCCAACGCTAGTTGCACAAATGTCACAGAAGTTGACACAGATATAGACTGTCGAAGGAGATACAGATACGAATAAAGATATAAAGGTAAAGACAGGGATTTCCGGATAGAGACATAGATACAGGTATAAATTTGGCATAAACAGGCATAACGGTCTAGACATAAATACCGACATGAATAGGGAGAGACAGAGACAGAGAGCGACCTCGAATAGTAGGGTCCGTAAAACAATCAAAGCAAGATGCCCAATGAAACACCCCTGGTGGCTCTGAGGCTAGAGCAGCGGAAGTGCATAGTGAGTCGAGGCTTTGTATGTTAGAACCCAGGCTCCCCTTTCGTCTGCACTTGACGGATGAAGGGACTTCGGGTAAGCAAGGCTACAAGTGCCCTCATAGATCAGTTTTGGCGATAAGCAGCTACAGCACAAGTTTAAATAATACCCTACTTATAACTTCCTACTTACTCAATCCCATGATCCCTTGAAAGCAGGAGCTTAAACCCTGACACCCCGCGGAATGGGGACGGAATTCCTTCCGCATGCGGCTCCGCCAATTGCTGCTGCTTCGTTTCTAGAACACACATAAGATAAACACGAGAAGCCCTAAACCCACTAAACTCTAAACCCATCTCAAAATCCGTTAAGGCTCGTGAAATATGATTATAAATCTCACTCTCAGAACCCTTACAAACCTCTTTTGTTCGTTCGCCTAAGCCCTGTGACATCCTGCCCCGCCGACGTGATGAGCCGGAGACTGTCCGCCGGCTGCGTCATGGCTTCGGCGACAGAGGCAAAGACCTCCAAAGCACTTCTTCTCACAAAACGGGTACCCAATAAGGGGTACCTTTATCGCTCGCCTATGGTCTCAGCTTTAACAAAGGCCTTAGTAAAGAGAAGTGGGTCATGTGAGACATTCGTTGTAGCATAAACATATGTATACTTAAGGACTCTGGGAGGGTGGGCTACGAAGTGCTCCGGCCTCTTAAGCCTCCAATCTTCATGTCACTATGTGCCCTCAAGCGCGATGCTTTGATGCGGGCCCTGATCTCGAGCTACCTGCAGCCTTAATAGAACCGTTACCCTCATGGCCCATGTACCTACAGCTGCTTACAACATTCTATAACCATAGTAATTGAAGTGAACATGAAATACGCCTAGAGCGGCTCGGCACGGTATCTGTCGGGACAAAGTCTCTCACGCCAATCATGAACCACATCGAACTCGTATACACCCATTGTGTAAACCCCTGCAAGCACATCATCGATCCATGAAAGAATACAGGCTTAGGGTGGAAGGAACCTCCTGGAGCCTGGACCCTAAACCCCGAACACCCAGGATCCAAACCTGAACCCTCCTCGGGCCTGCCAAAGTGGCGTTTCAGGGGCCAGGGAGAGCTCAAGAAGCTCTGCCCCGGACATTTGAGTGCAGGAAGCCTCAGCGCCGACACGTTTTTGCTTCTTGTTTTTATTTGGCGATTTCCGAAAATGGGGGACCCTAATATAGTACCCCAGATAGTAGGGTCCTTGTTGTAAGGACCCCAGAATAAGGTACCCCTAATTCTCGGAACCTCCCATATGCTTTCAGGGCCCCCAACTCGGGTTTACTTCTCAAGGCCTTCGGGGGTTCAGGCTTTAGAGCCAGCTCTTCTTCAAGGTTTAAACTTTGTTGGTGGGTTGAACTATTAGTTCATGAAAAATTCGGGGTATGGGAAAGGTCGTTAGATAGGGTAGACTTGTGCTTTTGCTCTTCTAAGTTGCAGTTTGTGCAAACATCTTGCTGACAGCAGGTTTCAGGATGAGTTGCGACGCTTTCGTCTCGTTGGTTTGAAGGCTTTGTCTTTTTGGCACTCATGCATGGCCTAAGGAAGGATGCGTCCCCACTGCTGCTGTAAGCGACCGCAGTCACTGCTAGAATGGGCTGTGGGGTAAGCTCTCTCTCTCTCTCTCTCTCTCTCTCTCTTCTCTCTCTCTTCTCTCTCCCTCCCTCTCTCTCTTTATACCTGTATATAAACTTACATACTGATATATATATATATATATACATATATATATATATATACTTATTTATGTATATATACAGAACTATGTGAATTATGTATCTAGATAAACATGCGGAAACAGCTGGCTGTAGAGAAACAATGGCACTTGGCTCAAAACCCTGCAAACGCAACACGAACCCTAAAGGCCCAGTGGGGATGCCATCCCAAAGTGCCACAACGGTTGATGATACAAATCCTGCATTACCCATAATAAGGAATATACCATAATTCCCATAGTTTAGGGTCATTAAGGTAATGCAGGATTTATATCATCAACCGAATCATCCCAAAGTCCGATAATCCAAGGGTAAAAGGAGGGACCCTTAATTAGGACCCCTAGGTATATACCCTTAACATAGCTAGTATATACTCATTATATAGCCCATTATAGGGTAGGGGTCCCCATTAAGGGTCCCTCCATTTCCCCTTTGAGACAAGCCCTCTAGCCTTAAGAGCGCTAAAAGTTCCTTCGTGGAGCATACAGTTATACTATATGTATGTATGTGCATATGTAAATACATATACAGGTAGATATACTTCCGGGAGGGGGGCCTAGATAATTGACAAAGCTATTCTAAGGTTCCTTACTAAAGTGATTTATAATGTACACCAAAACACTAAAAACCTGTTCTACTTATTGAGGCTGGTTAAGGCCCCCATATTGGACTTCAGAATTGAGGATGTAGGATGAAGCGCTTGGTTAAGACAGATATGGGAGTTTCCGAAATGTGTGGACCCCAACAGAGTACCCTAAATAGTTGGATCCTTATTACAGTATCCCCCCAAAATAAGGTACCCCTTATTTTCGGAAACTCTCAAATGAACCAATCCGACGCACACTAAGCTGCCAGTCGGGTTGAGCCAGGCTCGGGGGGCTCGCAGATGCAGGGTTCTGAAGCCTAGCCGCCCAAGCTGAAAGCAAAAACTTAAAGTTTGATCACCTCACACCCAGAAGACCTGAAGCTTTATGACGGGATCGATCGTCTTCTCTGATGCCAGGGAGCTTTACAGAGCTCCCCATCCGGGATACAGTGCAGTGTTAACACCTGTGGCCCAAGCGGTGCGGATACTTGCGGGAGCCTAGGGTCCATATTACAGAGGCCTCATTATCATCGGAACCGGGCTTTGGTTGTCACTTTTGTATGAAACAACTACCAAAAAGAGAAGGTTTGGGAAACAGCAAGGGGACATCTTGAAACTTGGGCCTGAACAAGTCGGACTTGGCGACTTGTCTGGTGTTGGGGTCTTTTCGACACTCACACGCGGACAAGGCCAGGCAAGGCAAGGCGTCGGGTCTAGGGATCGGTTTAGGGTTTAGGGTTCAGGGTTCAGGGATTGAGAAGCGCAAGGGGGTTGCCGATGGAGGAACTGAGAGCTCCAATTCAGCTCAGAAGCTAGGCGCAGGGTCCAGCACTCCTACTTGTCTTGTTTCTAGAGCCGCTGCCGGCTGAGCCCCACATCACCTCACCAAAAACGACCAGCCAAGCCCAAAACCTGAACCCTCAACCCCCAAAGTCCCACACCCGCAACCCCAAGTACTATATAAAGCAAAGCAACCCTGAACCCTCAAATCCGACCCAAAAATCCCAGCCCCGTACCTGCGTCCGCTTGTTTTTGTCCAGGGCGGCCTCTAACCTGCTGGTGCCCGCTGTGGCTTGCAATAGGGTTTGGGGCTTCAGGGATTATAACAGGCTTCATTGATCGATAACAGTATTCCCTTGGGGTTCCGCGCTATATTATAGTAGCTAGAACATACTATGCCCCGAACCGGAGTTCGGTCGGGAATTCTGGACCGGATGCATATCACAAAGAGGTTTCGACAAGACGATCCGTTTGGAGCCAAGGAAGGAGTGAAATTGAATATCAACTCGAGAGCGTAAGGCTTCAGTCCAGCATCCTTTTGAGCAGTTTAGGGCTTAGGGTTGTTGAGTTTACGGTTTTAGGTCCTTGAGGTTTGGGGCTTTCTGGCATAGAAGGCTTCGGGTTTGGATGCAATGAAGACGATTGCCAGAACACATCAATGTAGGGGCCTTAATAATTAAAATAGGGTTTTGGGGCCCATTCATTTTTCTATAATTATAATTAGGAACCCCACAAATAGTATAGGCTATTATTAAGGCCCCTACATTACCGGTGCTTGTTGAGGCTGCTGCTCCTATAGCCCAGACGTATGAGCCTTTGCCGGCCCCGGCTGCCGAGCCATGAAGTATAAGGATCTTATCAGGCTCGAATGAAATTCGATCCATCTATCTGTCTGTCTATGTACACACATACATATATAAATATATATGTACTTAATTATGTAATATAATTATATATAGTTGTATATATATATATATATATATGTATGTATATGTATATACACAGTCAATCACCTGCATTACGCCATGCCTCTGAGCAGAATCAAGGACGCATGGCAAATGCTGATATACGCGCCTGCCTGGATTGTGAAAGCCTCGATGCGAACATCACTAAACGTCCATCGGTCAAGCAAGCATGCAGTCCTAAACCAGAAACCCTAAAACCCGATTCTCAACCCTAAACCCTATACATTTATAAGCCCGATACATTAAACTCCAAACCCGAAATCCTAATGGAATAGTAATCGTCACAATGGAAGTGCCTAGGCTTGCGGAAGATCTCCTTTCCTGAAAACACCTGAGCCCTAGGCCCGATCCTCTTGTAGAACCGTTCCGAAGGTTTAGGGCTAGGGTTTGGGGTTTCGGGGTCTTTTCTTTTTTTGAGGCTTCAGGGTTTAGAGTTTAGGGTTGAGAACTTTCGGAAAAGATGCTATCTGCAATCAGATAGTCAAGCAACCTTGTGATTTCTTGGCGGCTGCGGCGGAAGCCGTGAACCGCGAGCACCTCACGCGGAGGCTCGCTGAGTTTGAGGCTCGGGGCTGCTTAGCTTAACATTTAGGCCTTACGAGTGAGCTGAGATACTATCCTAGGCACCTATGTAGGGAGGTCCAATGTCGCTTCGGGTCAGCGTGTGCTGGCTACCTCGCGCCTCAACGCATCTCTTCGGCTTAGAGTTTCGGAATTTTCTGCAGCTAGAGCTTGCTAGATACTGTGGATGGACAAAATCCTGCATGACCCTAAGGACCCTGAACTATGGGAGTTATGGTATAATTATTCCTTATAAGGGGTAATGCAGGGTTTTGTCCATCAACAGTATTACAGCATCAAGCTAACGCATCGCAAGCAAGGCCGGGTTTCCGAGTAAGCCACTGCAGAGCGCACGTCGGCATCCCGGCTTCGCAGGCAGGGCTACGTCCCGACTCGGACGGAGTGGATCTTCTTGTTTTACTGCCTGTATACCGTGCTACCATACAAGGTCGAACCTGCTTAACAAAGCTAAACATTTTCGGCCCAACATGACTGACACATCAAACGAGGAGCAAACGCAGTCGCGCACTCAACACTTTCAATGCAACCTTTGCCTGAGGAAACCCTGTGTAGCCCCTTAAGATTGACATGTAGGCACGGTGATGGTGTCCGACTGCTCCACGGCCTGCAGAGGGAGCGGTTCGAACGATCTTCGATTCGAAAACTTAAAACCCTGCATAGGAAGACCATGAAACTTGCAACAGCGCCGGTAAATTACTTCGGTTTAGGGTTCAGGGAATACGCTTCCGGGTTATCTATTTGCTGCATGCTTATGGGACTGCAACTTTCGACATCGGCCCGAGCGAGTCCCGGAAGCAAATGAGAAGAGAGGCTCAGACCGTCCACGTTTCCTTCAGGAACATACCTCATGCGCCAGGACCCTCCTGGTACCCTCAAATAGGGGTATATGGTCCCAAATAAGGGGCATTTAGGGTCTAATAGAGGGTAGATGGAGGGTCTATTGCTGCTATACTCATTAACTAAGTAAGGGATATTGGGAGGGCTGGAGGCATCGGACCGACGTGTGACAGATCAATTGGGACCCAGTTCAACCCAAAGAGCTCTGTATGTACTCCCTTTCAGGAATAGACGTATAGTAACATATTATAATAAGCCATATAGGGATATCCTCACATTAGAGGGTTGTGGGGCTTCCTGGTAAACTTTCTTAAATCTTGTCCCCTGGTAACAGGGATCTTACAAGCCTCTTAGACTCCTCTATGGCGCCAAAAACCGTTCAACAACCAGCTCCAAAAACTCTAATAAACCCTTCAACCTTCAATCTTAATCCCTATAAACCCTTGACCCTCATTTTCTTTTGCTAAACCCAATGAAATCCAAAGAGCGGTCGGGGAGAGAAAGCTGAAGCCTCGGTAAGTTTCTGCACGCCCAGGGCTCCGATGTGCCGGTTGAAGCTGAGGTCCTCGGGTTCGGGCTCTTGTCGGGCTTATAATTCCCAGAATATCTAGTGGCTTTATGTCTATAGGGTTTAGGGCTTCTGAGGGCTTCCAGTGGCTTGATAGGTTTCGGGGTTTGTAAGGGCTTTATCATTTAGTGACCATATAGGGATTTGGGTTCTCGGGTTTAGGCGCCTGAGGTTTCCACGTTACCTTGAGTCTCCAATGTGGATGATTACTTTCGTTGGCTACCGGCGTTTTTGACTACGAGGTCTTGGCCACGACCACCATCGGAGAACACGGCAGCGGAGACGGAGAGTACAGGAAGGATTTTGGCATTTGATTGCGGTGTTAGTCTTGCGGTTGACAGGGTTTGAGACTTTGGTTGTGTCGGGTAGGACTTAGGTCTAATGTAGGAACCTGATTAAGAAACCCTGGCCCTACAACCCCAAAATAGTAGGATTCATATTCGGAATCTTAATGAAGGCCCAAGGTTTCTTAATCAGGTTCCTACATTACCTGTCTACCTTAGACTTGTGACCTCTTTTCGGGAGTTAATTTCGGGGGCTGGAAAGCAGTGCACGTTTGTGCTCGCTTTGGACAACACGACTTGTGGCTTCACATGTTTGCGGAGGGCGAAAGCGTGTATAATGATTCGAAACAAAGAAGCGAACCCCAAACCCTAAACCCTATTCCTAAACCCGATTTGCATCCAGGCCACAATCCCAAACCCTAAACCCTGGAGCCTGAGACCTGACCCCACCTGTCACCTAATGCAAACATGAGACATGTAAATTCATAGAAGATAGGGGAGACTCGCTACGACAGAACCACCACAAACCTGAAGAAGGCCCTTAAAGTCTCAGCTGGCCAAAACAAGCGGCCAGGAGCGCCAGGGTCGAGCAATGCCTGAGTTCAAGGTGCATTTTGGGTGTTTAGGGCTTTAAACACTTGACCACCATGTGGGTATGATTTTAAGGGTTTAACATGAATGCTTGTGAGAGATTCGGGCTTCTTTGAGGTTCCGGGTTCAAAGCTTACGCGTGTAGGATTTCAGGAACCGCCTGTAGCCTCTCCACTATTTCGGTTAGACTGCTTAGAAGCCCAAAGTCTAACAATGGATCACCAAAAACAGAAACTATAAGGCAGAGTGTAGGAGGGGTTCAGGTATTGCTTAATTGACACTAGACCTGCACAAGTAGCAGGGCAAGGTCCATGACGAGGGTCAAATGGGTCCCCAGCACAAACCTGCACTGAAGGTAAGGCCAGGAACAAGGCATCGGCGAGACTTTGCGCACCTTTGTCCCCGATCCTGGGCGACTAGCTTTGCAAGGAAAAGACAGCTCCAAACTCCAAAAGCAAGTTTAGGGTTTTGCGGAACACCTGGACGTCTTCACTCGTCAAGCATTGAACGAATCAGTTTTGATGCTCGGCTCAAAGTTGCGGGATGTGGAAGGGTGCAACAAGCTAGACCCAGAATGTGGCGCAAGCATCCTCCTGCAGGGATTACACTGCGCTTCTCTCGTGCAAACACCTCAAACAAGCAGTTCCCCTCCCAAGACTCAAACATGGCCGCCTCTCAGTCGAGAATGCTGGAACCTACTCCCGTCCACAGGTGCATGCCATAATGGTCATTCAAACGGTACTTCGTTTTGGAGAGAGATTCTTGGAATCAATGCGGTGGAGGCTGAGGAAGACCACATAATAGCTACTTGGATTTGGAGCCTACGGCCTTCGCTGCTTGAACCCTGATTACACTTCACACTTGGAGGGACTTCTATTGGGTACAAAGTCTGATAGACGGATTAAAATGCAGTGAGTGTGCCGTTTGGACCGGTGCACACGGCTTTGCTACGATTTGTTGCTAAGGCTGCTGCTTTTGAATCACTTTCCCTTCAGTGTCTTGCAGCTTTGTTTGTCCGAGCCCTTTCCAGTTGGGACTGCCTGCTAATAGCTCCGAGGATTTGGAGTCGGAGCTCCGACTTGGTTTGAATGATGAGAAGTCTGATTTTCGTATAAAATAAAACAAGAAATAAATTAATGGAAGATACAAGAAAAGGAGAGGTGTTGCTGGTGGGGCTTAAGCCTTTCACTTCGGGTACTTGGACCCGCAGTGTTTGCTTGCTTTGTGCATCCGAGCCAAGTGTGTAATTAAGCCACAACCCAGGCTACACTTCATCGTCTTCTGTAGCACTGTGTAGTAGACGGTTCTAGCGACTCTAGGGATTGCATTCCTGTTTGGAGGCTCGCGGGCAGTCACGTTCCAGGTCCCAGCCTCCGTTCTCACAACATCTTGTAACTTTAGACATCGTATAAATTTCTGGTATATCCACAAAACTGGGAACGTTGCCCAATTCCCCGGCCAGCATTTCATCCGAAGCGTCAAGTTGTCTCGCAGGTGCAGCTCCCTCAATCTCGCCTGCGAGGCTGCGGGAGACTAGGAAGAACTCTGCATGTGCGTGTTGGTACTCGTAAGCCTTACTTTTTGATATGCCATCATCAGCTGTAATCCTTACTGCCAAGCCATGTGGTTGAACTGTCAGCAAGTGGGAAGTCTGATGCGCTGGCTGCAAGTTATGTTGCCAAGTACAAAGTTTCACGATTCTGCGCGAGTCTACCGCGAGCTGCAGAAATCGACACGTACCCGCATGAACTGCGTGGCGTGGTCGATGAACTTGCTTGCAACTGCGCAATCGGTGTGCTATCTTGTTCTGGTATTCCAGTGCCCTGCTCAGACACCGACAAGCGTCATGTACTCACTCTTCCAGTCGATCCTGACCGTGACCGTTGCGCTTCAGAGTTGAAATCCAGAAGAGATGTCCGTCTGGCAAAGCGCAGCTTTGCAGAATAGTGCTACTTGCCAAGAGTTTGTGTGATCAGAGCCGACGTCTGCATCCCACAGCATCGGACTCCGTGACCACGGCATCCCCGTTCGGGCGATGGTGAAGTTGGTGTGATCTGGACGAGCTTCAATATGTATCTTATTTGTAACTTGGCTAAGTCTATGTAACTGAACCTGCTGCTTGTGTCAAAACACACGAACTGTGTAAATGCATCTCGTACAGGGATGACCTGAGAAGTGCGCGAAATTGAACATGCACCGTGTTGTGCACCATCTGCAAAGCTGGCCTAGCAAAGTGGCAAAACGTGTGTTTCTTGCGCTCGTGCTGCTGATAAGCTAATGACAGGTCATGGCGATCATGCCCCATATTTCTCGCCATCATGTGCGTGGATGTGACCTGACACCGGGTCTATGTTTCGCCGACGACGTTCAACCTTCGATACCTGTTGTTGGGCTCGCTGCTTTCAAAAGACTCTTCTGTTGCAAGTTTGCCTCAACATTTGATATGGGGACATGCCTACTGTGCAAAAAACGGACACCTGAACTCCATACTCAAACTCAAGCTGCCCAAATGGTCTGATTGAAGTCAGACTGGTGCGAAACTTCCGGATGTCGCTCAGGAGGAAGCCTCCGAACCTGGCCGAGGGAAGATGGCAAGAACAGCGCAGCTTGGACGTGCTGGAGATGCATGAAACTCTAAGGTCTGTCAATGAGGCAGCTGCCTGGAGCAAGACGAAGAAGAAACGGCTGCTGTGTTGATTGACTGCAACATGCCTGAAGGTCCACATTTTGCGTCATGTTGCGAGACTTGCACCCGTGCGAATTAAAGCAGACTTATACTGAACTTGAGTGCTTATCCACCATCTGCGGCTCGCACGAAGAATGTGTTCGCGAGAAGCTGGAAGGCCGCAGGTGCGGTTCACCAGCAATCTCACAGTCACAGTATCACTTCGGGTGCATGCTCTTGCTATGAATCGCGTGCTCACATACCTTGCGAAGAAGTGTCATGCCAACGGACCATGACAGCGCTACTGCCCAGTCCTTGACGGACCAAGGCTCGCAGTATTCGCGTGTCTGGTGAGTCTGACGCCAGAATGACAGGCCTGTTGTCTCAGTATAGCACGCCATCTCGACTTGAATCTCTACCGCCACAGCCATAGACAGGAAAAGGTTCAGCCACTCATGTGGCCGAATGCGCAGGAACTGTCTAGAATTGTCATAAGCTTGCAGAGCTTGATACTTGGCGCACAGGAGCTTCCACAGTTTCCATTCGATCTGAATCCGCACTTTTCTGACCAGTCGTGGGGCAGATTGCTGAGCAGCTTCGGTGGCAGAAACAACATGATCCACACAAGTAGCAAGAACGCCAAACACGTGCTTCAACGCACACATGGTGGCCCATCTGAATACGCACGCTGCGTAAACTACGAAAAAACCGCACACATATGCAAGCAAGGTCCACAAGCATCTGGCGCAAGTGGGACTCATATCGCGCTCATAGATGGGGAGACCGATGAAGAAGCACGCGAAGTCGATGATGAGGAGGTTTTGGTATGGTACGGAAAGGCGGTCCCACGCGCGGCTCAACCTGCTGAATAGCAAGCTGTTGTAGAAGTCAAGGCATTCGTCCTTACTCGGTTGGACGAGCTTTTCAGGGAGACAACGATGCACACCCGCATCAAGACCCAAGAGCAAATGCCGGCAAACGAAAGCTGTGACTCTGATGATGCATGCGAGTCCATGCACTGAAATGCTGGATGCAAGCTCCACCATGTCACAACCAGTCCGTATCAAGCCATCCCCAACTCCGAAAGGGACATAACACAATACAAGGACTTCGAAAGTCAATCGCAGTTGCACCAGGATATGTCGTCCGGTCGTTTCGTTGAAATAGGGCCCCACGAGAGCAAACAAGAGTGCTACGATAGGGTTCGCAACTCCGACCCAGCTGAGCAGACTGGTGACTGCGGTTGACCCCAGCCAGAATGCGAATCCAGACTCCTCTCGGCGAGTGATGAATGCTTGTACAGTCACCGCAACTTTGGGCGCCGTGATCTGGAGCATGCTCATGAGTACGAGCCATCCTCCCAGCCATGCCGCTCTGGGCCTTGCCGTGGAGAAGCAATCTCTCCCGACTCGGAACTTTCCGGGGCGAAGGGCACCTGTGACACACAAAAATGCGTATACCGCCCCGAAATACCAGGGCCTCCATTCGAGGCCTCGGTGCACAGAACTGGTCACTATCATCGTGGCTGCGATCTACGGGCGTCTTTCCTGCTATTGCCGCTCGGAGCAAATGGCTAGGCAAACATACGCTGTCATGTCGCTGAGCATAGCATGACCGCAGATTAGTGCACACAAGCTCGAAAGCCTCTGCAGCACTGCAGCATACAAAAGCTTCAGTGTCAAACATGCATGGCCGGCCGATCTTGGAAGCTCCAGGCCGTAGTCGCAGATCGAGGGGACAATGCGTTTCCGAGCGAAGACTGGTATGGTACACAACAGCATAACCCGTCTTCCCTGGCTCTGCGGTTGCGGCTGCTGATCTTCGCTTGGTTCGAGAGGTCGGTGTGCATACCACAATTCCACCGTACAACTTGCCGGACCTTTCCATCTTTTCGCTTCATGGAATTCGGAAGTCTGCCTTTTGGTTTCTGGTTCATATCTTGCTAGGGCGACTGAACACAGGAGCCGCCAGCTGAAGGGTTCTGCTGCAGTCGTGATTTTCCGCGAAACACAACTAATAATTCGTAAAACATGGTGTGAGGGTTCAGGCCCTCGGACTGTGTGTACGTCCCTACCATCCCTGCGAACCAATGGCGCACCTCTTGCAGCGAGGCAGCCAGAGCGACGGCACCTGCATCTCCGATCTGGGTCACCTCGTGCTTTCTGGTCATGAGTGTATTGGGTGGCTTACGGCATCAGCTTGGCGTGTGGGTGGCACTGGCACTGAGGTCACTCGTTCTTTTCGGTTTGTTCCTGTTCTCTGGCTCGCGGTTTCGTGACATTTAACCGTCACAGCACATTTCAGACCTGCATTCAGAGCGTTCTTGTGTCGGCGTCGTCAGAAACCTTATCTTGGTGGTTGTTGGCCGGAAGGCGCACCGAATCCTTTGTGTCTTCACATTCAATCGGCTAAAAAACTGCTTGTACATGTCACGGGTCGTAGTCCGAAATCCGTACCAAATCTGAAGGCCTCCGTCATGCTTTCGGGACCCACAATCTCGTGCATTCCGATCACCTCTTTCACCGTTCCAAAGAAGGTCATGTTCAACACCTACTCAAAGCTTTATAAAACGAGCTCGATGACTGCAATGAAGATGCTCTCGACAGCAAACAAAAGAAAGGCTGACCGTGCCGCCGTGCTGGATGCAAAAGCATTGACAACAAGACCTTGTACGAGCCAGGCTTCAAACTTTGCGTTCCTATGTGGGGCTGCTAAGTTTAGGCTTGAGACTGAGAACCCCGAGAAAGTGTGCTTGGCAGGAACCGGCGTGATGCCTGTGAAACCTCGCCACTAACACGCCCCGAAGCCCAGCGAAGACAGTTTGGGTTCTGGGTTCAGGTATACGGTTCGATCTAAAGGTAGCCTCTATAGTAACCGTTCCTGGTAAATACAGGCTTACGATATCTATCCATCGATTTACATCTGTATATATTGGTTTAGATATGTGTGTATATATATATATAGTAATTGACATATATGGGCAACTGTTCAAGGCCCAACCCGACCTGAAGGTCCAGGCTCGAGAGCGCCCGGGACTGGCAAAGACCAGCGGCCAAATTCTCGGCACCCTCATCCTCGGTTTTTCGGGCATTTACGCTCTCGCAACTCGGACTTGCCACACGAGGTCTTTTATTCGAAGTGCCTTTTCGGGCATTTAGGGGTCAGGGTTTATATAGGTTCATAATGGTTCATAAGGGTTCATAGGGTTCAGGTTCACAGGGGTTGTTGGGGTTTAGGAAGGTATGTGGGCTTGCATGCAATGCATGGAGTGTATTGGGGCTTATCCCTGTTTAGGGCTTCGACTCGCACACTCGCTCAAAGCAGGAACGGATCCACGCGATAGGTCCAACAGCGCTTATGGCTTGCGATCATGACGGCGCTGCAGGAGCGCTGGGAGCCCAGTTTCGGTATTCCTTTACATATGTGCATCTAGAAGGGCACAATGGCACAAAAACTATCGAGCCCCATTGAGAAGCGGACTGTGCGCAAATGGGGCTTAAGATTTCAGACAGTATCGATGCATCGGTGTCCCATCGCAAGTAAGGTTCCCATACTGCAAAGCTGACGTCTTGTCTCTAGCTGCGGCTTCAACAATGCTAAGCTTAAGTCTTCGAACCGGATCAACTTCTCACCGTTGGGAGGCGTTGGGATGCGGAACAACGAGGACAGGCTGTGCCAGCAGCACCAACTCAACCGACGGAACACATAAATGACGGCGCCCATGAAGATCGATACGAAGCCCTGCAGCTAAGTCCATGCTACACCCAGCCTGTCGCTGGCTAGTCTGAATGGTGTTGTGTTTAGTTTATGTGGCATTTTCGCCTCGAACAGCTGCTCGTAAGTCTCCGAAGCAACATCTGGCGAGCATCTCCAAGCGGGTTCTTGCTGAGATCCAGCTTGGTGAGGCTATTGTTCCTTGGCAAGGCTTCTGAGAGGTGTCTTCAAGGATACTTGGTTTTGCAAGGATGCACGGAGAGCCTTCAGGCATAGGCTTTGGATCATTTTGGATCGCTATTTGGTGTTCGGCTATCAATTTTTGCACCATGTCCCTGAATTCCCTGAAACTGTGCCGGAAGATCTTTGAACACAAGGAAGCACTGACTTGCCATACGCGGCCTTTGTACCACTCCTTGACTTTCCTCGTAGAGTCATGACCTACTTGCCGGGTATCATGGGCAACTAAAGGTTAGCCTTTTTGGTTCTATAATACCAAAAAAAGGTGAAAAGGTTAGCCTTTTTGGCTATATAGGGGCTATATACGGATTATAATACCAAAAAAAGGCGAAAGGCTACTTACTCTACTACGAGGATGAAGAGGAAGCAGTGAAGCTCTGGCCTCCCAAAACTCGTGCAATAAAAAGGCCCCTATATGAAAGACTGGGCCTAGGCCAAGGTAAATCTGGAAAACACAAAATCACCATTGAAAGCCCGAATTACAACCCCGCAAACTCTCAAATTTCCGTGCATCTTTGCAGGAACAAACCACATGCTCATTTGGGTTGTCAACCAAGCACACCTTAACAAGTGTAAGCAGAGCAATATCGCGGAATATTATGTCATGTCTTGGTGTCAGTGTATCTACACGTATGTGCCTGTGCATGCGTGTATTCATGTTCGGCCGACACGATTCCGCAGCAAAGCCCACATGTATGCATTACCACCCGGGGCTTTCTGAACCCTTCGAGCTCTCTTTAGACCTGACCCTCATGCAACCTCTGCGTTCTTTCGGTATAGAACAAGCCCAGTGGGAGCACCTTTTGCTGGAGAGTTCTTCCGAGCCTGATGTAGGGGCCAGCATAGTTCAACCAGGGTTTATGGGGTACACTAAAGTTAAGCGTATTTACATCGCGACTCTAAAGGGATGTGTGTGTATATATATATACGTTCATGTACTTCATGCATTTTCGACTCCCTACAGTAACAGACTTTAGTTGGATGGATGATTCTTAACCCAATACCTTCGAAGGACTCCTAAAACCCTGCAGTAAAGCACACCCTCCCGTGCCAGAGCTTCGTCTTCAGCACCTCCGCCAACTTCGCGGCGCCGGCAGGGCCGATGCGATTGCGACAGAGGGAAAGGACCCGGAGGCAACGGTTCTCCTTGCTTTTAGGTTCAGGTCGTTGGGCTGCAACTTTTCCTGTTGAGGCTGTTAATAGGGTTGAGGGATAAATCTACCGGGCTCCGTCTCATCTATCTCCGCGTCTGGTTGTGGGAGATTGTTGGCGTGTCTTGGCTTAACAGCTGAAGCTTGCGTGCATGCATTAAGTGATATAAACACCGACGCATGGTACTTATACAGATCAGTCATCTCGCTGTCGCTGTCCTATGTACCGATATAGTAGAATGTGGGGTTTCCATGCATATTAGGAATTACTATTATGACTATTATGACTTAGGGACGTATCCCCCGTAGCAGTACATAGGACCCTTTGGGTACACCGCCTCTCCTCCAGAGCCTCGGCAAGGAGAGAACCGACCTGGAAATCGCAAGAATGTCCATCACGTAACATATGGGTAGTTGTCAAAACTAACCCTAAATATTAGGTGCCGTATTATAAGAAAAAGGGACCATCATTTTGACAACCACCCATATAGGGGTCTGCATGATGACCTACATGGGAAGTTCTCAAAATTCAAACCCCTTTTGGGGGATCCTTTTTCATAAGAGTGATCATACTATGTTTGGGAGAACTACCCAAGTTATCCCGTGGAGCTCCCTTACCCATAGTCTCCATTGCAGTTCCTTTTTTGGTTAACCAAAATCTCAATTATAGGATCCTAACCATAAAACTGGTTAACCAAAAAAAGGAACTACAATGGAGACTATAGGTACTACAGTAACAGTACACTCTACCCCCGGCTCTCTAGCGACTCCCAGGTCACACGGTTGGGCTTTGCAAGGCATGAGGGCGACGTTTAGGGTGAAGGGCTCAACAAGTTCTGGCTACCTGGGGTTCTTTAAACCAGCATAGAACTATGGAGCAGGCTACCATGCAAAAAGTTCGGAACCCCACCCCAGAAATGGCGTCATAAATTCTTGATTGATCAAGCTTAAAGGTCTCACCTCGTGGAAGATCTTGCAAGGCCGTATGCAACCCAAAACCCGTACACCTTCGAAAAACTGTTGCAAAGCAATACAAAGAACATCAAAGAACCCTTAGAACATCCGTGTAAAACCGTATGGAACCTTTAAAGAAAACTCCAAAGACTTCATCGGACCTGTACAGCAGCCTCGGATCCCCTGTACGACTCCGCCAAGGATCTCAACACAGTCCTTAATGAAGACCTTAAAGACGACATGTCAACGAAGGCCTTGACTAAACAAACGCCTGCATGAATCCTGAATGGGCATGTTGATCAAAATCTGATATTGCCACAAGGTTTTGAAGGTCTGCTGGGAAAGACTCGAGGCCTTGTTGTCGACATCGCACTCGTTCAACCGAAGAGTTCGGACACCTTTGCTGTGCGGTGGCTGAGCGCTCGTGAGGCTTATAAGGGCTTATGGTTGCCTGTCGGCCATTTTTGGGTTTCACAGGGGTTTCGTATGAGGCCAATTCAGTCAATTCAGGGATGAATTTTGAAAAAGTGCCTCGATAACCTGTGCTACAGTCGTTTTACGGCTGCCCGTTGAAACAAACCTCCAAGACGCTCTCGGGGCAACGCATTTCTGTTCTTACGCACGAGTGGGGTTGGGCTTTGGGGGCTTTGGGTTCTTAGGGTTTATAAGCCCCCAGAGAGCTGGATGAAATCCTACGCCTCACGGGTTTCTTTGATTTAGCGACCTGGGGTAGGGGAGCTTATGGCTTGGGCCTATGCTCGGGTACTAAGAGAAGCGTGCCTAATAGCACCCGTAACGATTAGGAAGAAACCTCAAGGTACTACAAGTATCAGGGTTCAAGTTTTTCGGGTTTAGGCTAGAGCCTCCCCCAAAAGATGCTTAAGGCAGGGCGAGACAGTATCAGATCTTTCGCAAGTAGTAAAGTCGAATCTCGCATACTATCAACCCTGAACCCTAGGCCCTAAACCCTGAAGAATATCTATGCAGCCGTGGGCCTTTGGAGGAAAACCTTTTCTGCGGAGCAAGAGATGCCGAAGTGTTGCCAAGTCCCATGAGCGGAAACCCCTGTGATGATATTCCAAGCACAGTATGAAGACCATCTAGCTTTCGGTCTGTTCGCTAATAGTTATGAAGCAAATCGGGCTCTCTGTGCTGTGCGGAGCTTTTGGCCCAGAGCCCCAAACCGTTAAACTTTTTCACTAAAACCCCACCCCCTTTTGAACCCAGGCTCGGATTCAAAGCCCTTAAACCTAAACCCCAAACCTGTTGCTGGCCCAGAACCCAAAACCCCAAACCCTAAACCCAGATGCTTGTGTTCGAAGCCAGCGCGATGGCCACTCGCTCGGCCGCGGCACCAAAGAGCTTTAACCTGGCTTTCTCCACGGCCTCCACCCTAAATCATAGGGACCCTTAGGGGTGTAGGGGGGAGGGTGTAGGGGACTATATTTCCTTAAATAGGCCTTATTAGTCCTTATTATGGGCATTAAGGCCCCCTACCCCCCCTCCCCCTACACCCCTAAGGGTCCCTATGACTAAACCCTTTAAGGAACCGTTCATTAATGGAAGACCTCAAGGAACCCTTATGGTGCTCCTTATAGAACCCTTAAAGCTTGGGAGTTTGGGAGTTGAGGGTTAAGGATGTAGAGTACAGGGGTTTAGGGTCAGGGTACCCTTCGTTTATAAAAACCCTTAGCAGAAACCTTACAGACCCTTTATAAGGGTCTCAAGGTTTCGCTTCCCCTGCTATGACGGTTCGTTTATATAAGGTTAGGGCTGCTTGCATTGCAAGCTTTGCTCAAGGGTTTGGAGCCGTTTGGGGTTTCGGGGCGGTTTCGAAAGCGAGAATCAAGCTCATCGGTGCTACCTACACCAAACAGCCTTCCGGTTTTCGTGCTTTCCGCGACTTTATTGGGAGTTTCCGAAAATAGGAGACACCCCCAAATTTTCGTAGGATCCTGATTAGCAGGACCCCAAAATGAGGTACCCCTAATTTTCGGAAACTCCCTTATCGACTAAAAGGCAGTGACCTAGCGCCTGAAGCCATTAGCCCAGCCCCGCATTGCCCTAAAAAAACAAATTTCCAAAACCCGAAAGCCCTTGAAACCCTAAAATGTGAGGAAATTGCCGATTTAGAGAGTGTCAGACCAGCAAAACATAGGCCAAGAATCAACATCCAAAGATGCGTCTGATTCCAGCGCGCTGGATGTGTGCTCGGAAGACTAAACACTGAGACTGAGAATCCCCGAGAGATAGGGCGTCGCCAAGTCTTGCAGTGCCCCAGCTGCCGGAAAACTCGTAATGCAAGGGCCCCTGATCACCCAAGACAAGTTTCTACTAGGCTTGTACTAGTTACTAGGGTTCTATGACATAGGGGGCCTTAATGAGTAGAATAAGCTGCTGGGTGTTGGATCTTGGATTTATGTTCAGGAACCCTAGCAAAAAAAAACAAACTATGGCTACTTATTCTGAAGCCGCCCCAAACTCCAAGCAAGGACTCGAGATCCCTCTAGGTCTCAGGAACCTGACTTCACATGCCGAAGTGGCTGAAGTGGCAGAGGAACTAGGCTGGCCACACAATCCTGAAACCCATACCCACCCCAAACCGTAAATTCAGAAATTTCAGACATCGGTATCAAAGCAGCTCGCACGCATGGAGCGTAGTACATTTCGCTCGCACGAGAAAGTCCACCAACTCCTTGTCTGCTACAAGTTGACCCAAAGAGCGCCATACCCCGCAAGTCAGGATTGTACCTAAAGCATACGGGACTGCTTCATTCTTGTGACGTTTCGGGGTGAGTGGGTTCTCCGGTATCCTGCAAGAACCTCATGCATTAATCCGGCTTACCGTAACGGGAAAAAGACCGTCGTTTGGTGCTACAGAATTCAGGAGCTGGAATCGGATAGAGCTTAGGATCTGCTGAACCTTGGAAGGGGCTTAAGGAAGTGTAGAAGGGTATCCTACCGGGCTTAATGCGGTTGAATCACAGTTTCTGCAGCCCTTTCCCTACATTGCTGCAAGGGTTACAGAAACTCGAATCCAACCTTACAAATAGCCCTATAGAGCAATCCTTCTACGTCCGGCTCGTCGTGTGGAACAGCTTGGCATCATTCATTACTCCAGCATGTTACAGTCTTACGGGGCTGTACGGTGTGTTTGGGCTTTGCGGTGTGGTGGCGTGCTGGCTCTTGGCTGTACAGCAAACCCAACACATGGCACAAGCTTTCGATACCAAGAACCCCAAACGGCTGAAGAGCCAAAACCCGGCGACTGAAACTCCTGAAGCAGTGACAAACCGCCAAGTTTCCGTGACAGTGCTTGCTGCGGCTTCCATGAGCAAATGTGCAGGCACTCTTTGGCTGAACGAAGCACGCCAAGGGCGCAGCTAGTGCTATTAATGACTGTGATTACATGGAAATATTGATAGCCACTGTCACTGCACTCTAAAAGAAATCAAAAACATTGTTGCCACGACTATGAACCAAAGCTAGCGTTATTATACTATAGCTTCGCTATGGCTATGGCTCGTTTGCAACACTACACAACATTTCTGATTTACGCATGCCAGGTCGCCTGCCTCGCCAGTCCACTAAAAAGGGTTCATGGCACGTAGGGCTCTAGGGTTTAGGGTTTAGGGCTCTAGGTCTTTGGGACAAATCTTTTTTGTACTGGCTTGGGGTTTGGGTTCGGGGTTTGGTGAGGACTCAGGGCTTGTTGTCTTACTTTTCGATCTCAAAGTCAAGTCTTTGCCGTGGCTGTCTTCTTTGCAGCAGTTGGGATCCTACTCAAAAGATCTCTGGCGTTCGTGGTTTCAGGACCAGCTGTCCGGCTGTCCGGTTTGGATGCGATAGCTCGAAGTCAGGTAGCAGCGTGCCTTGGAAACATTGCTACGTTTCCCTTTTCGTCCCTTAACCTTTTGGACCTTTTGAGCCTTCTACAATGGTCAGTGCTGTTCGTTTGTGCCTGCGGACCTCTTTAAATCCGATCGAGCCGAAAAGCATCGAAAGGTCTTTGCCTGGTCGGTTTCAGCGGAATTGAAGGGGTCTGTGGGGCTTTCGGCTTTATGGCTTCAGGGCCCGTGGACCTTCTTGAGGGCCTAGGGCCTAGGGTTGTTTAGAGCTTTGTTTGGTGAGGTTGGGTTTCGGGGTTGGGGCGCTAGGGTGTGCTTGAGGAATGCTGAAGAACTCAGGGGAGCCAGAGCCACGAGAAATGCGAGCCAGCTAGACAACCATACCTCTAGGGTGCTTGCTACTTATGGAACAAAAGTTCTGACAGACTATGATAAAGAACAAGATAAAGAAATCGACATCGAGATACAGATGCACAAAGAAGTATAGATATATACGTATATCTATATTTGCAGCTATATAGAGCTATAGATATCCAGATCTTTAGTGCTTGGAAATATGATAAAGGCAACACTATATGAGCCTGAAGAGTTAGACCAAGGTGTGCGTTGGGTGGGTGGGCGTACTCCCAGGGTGCATGACAGAGTATGGATTGATATTAAATATGTATATATGGACGTGACGTAGATGTCTCTCTTTCTGTGATGAATATGTATAAATGACCACATCGGTGCACATATACATATACCATAATTATACTCATATGTGTGGCTCAGGGGGTGCATATGCTCGATGTCTTGCAACTCCTTTTCCTGCACCTGTCGTCTCAACGCTACGTGGTCCACACCGACTGCCGCAAACAAAGGCAGCGCCAACCATACGAATTTTTGAACACATCAACCCTGAACCCTGCAGCACTCAGCAGAAAAACCATGCACCGTAAATCGCTCCTATACCTGCAACCGTAGTTCTCGCAAAATCTATAAACCGTAATCCGAACCCCAGCCCAAGAGATCATTACATCCACAAGCCCTACACCCATAGGCCTTAAGCCCCAACTCAGGCCCCAAAGAAGGTGTCCTTAAAGTCGTAAACTTTCATTCAAGCCTTGCATCCTCACTTGAAACTCAAGGACTTGGATCCTTGAACCTCGCAAAGCCATGAAGATTCCGACGCGCCAGTGCCTCGATCAGCCACGCCATCCGTTGCCTGAGCGCCGATGCCGAAGAACAGGAATTGTTTTGTTTGAGCAACTCTTTAGGGGCTGAGTACCCTAGACCCAAAAAGGTAAACTTTTTCAACTATTGTAGGGTTATACAAACATTAAAAGGTGGAAGGTCACCTACTCAGCCATCAAGCTTCCGACCCGCAACTTCATATGTCCAGCTCGGAAGACCATAGGATCAGAACAGTTTTTTGGGAGTCTCGTCTTCCTGTGAAAAATTCCCTTTGGCTAGTAGGGAATGGAAGAATGGTAGTAGTAGTAGTAGTAGTAGTAGTAGTAGTAGTAGTAGTAGTAGTAGTAGTAGTAGTAGTAGTAGTAGTAGTAGTTGTACCTGTACCCCATTCCTCCATTCCCTACTAACCCAAGGTAAGACGAATTCCACGACAGTTTTGGGCTTCCCTGCTTGTCTTGAGAAGAATGTCTCTGCAAAGCTTTACTCCAGGGGCCGTTCGTCTTCATAGCAGGGTTTCGGTTTAGGGTTTCGGCCTGGGGCTCCTCTATCCTTAAATGATACGATAGGTTGATTACAAGGGCCGAAGGAGTTCAACTCGAGAAGATGTTGGAGGCGACGTCGATGTAAGAGAAAGAAGCAGGAGGAGGTCGGGGAGAAGTTATATAGGTTTAGGAATTAGAGTTTCGGGTTTAGGGTTTAGGTAACAAGGTTACCATTGCTAAGGTTAAGGGGTGTAGGTTTAGGTGGTTAGGTTGGGTGTTCGTCTGATGCGGATTTGGAATGCTCGGAGATCCCTTGCTGCGGCCTGTTGCCTGCGCCTTTGCTGCAAGCAAACGTACCGGGGCGTAAGAAGATTGCATACCTGCGACCGCAAACTTTGTTGCGAAGCCGGCGGGTGCGATGATTCGTGCGAAAGCTCACCGTGAGGTATCTCTGAGGAGGCTTTCCGGTATAACGTCTGCACATGAGCCTGGCCACGATTTAGTCCTGATACGGTCAAGTCTGTAGCGAGTCGGGGGCTATCACCATGAATCTCAGCAGCATTATGGCTTGCAGGTCTTTGGTTTAGGGCTTTCAAGGCTTTTACGTGTTGGTGTAGGGCTTTAGCTTCAAGACGTTCAGGCCGTTGTGCAGGCCGGTAAGGCATCTTAAACCGTAAACCGTCTAAAACCTAGACCCCTTTCTGCCACTGACATGCAACGCCAAGCCAAAACCGTCTCGCTCCACGCTGCACTCGTGACAGCATGAATGGAAGCTGTTGCTGCAAAGCACACTCAGGGGACACCTAAAACCTAAACTGAACCTGAAACCCCAAACCCTACGCCCTAAACCCTATAAGACCTGAGGGCCGCAAATCCTACTCACTCTAGCAGTTGGAGGAACTGGTAGCAATAATCCCTTGAAGCCCTCACAGCAAACCCTAAACCTTAATAAAACCCTATAGGACCCGAGATCCTCAAGCCCAAGAACCCCATACACTCCCCATAGCGAACCTTACACCTGAAACCCAAAACCCTAAAAAACCCCAAACCCCAAATAAACCCCAAACACTAAACCCGAAACCCCAAACATTAAACCCCAGACACTAAACCCTACACCCCAAACATTAAACTCCAGACACTAAACCCTAAACCCCAAACATTAAACCCCAGACACTAAACCCCTACAAACCCTAAACCCCAAAGCCAATAACTCCCTGGCGCCTTAAACTCCGAAAACACCCCCTGGGGCCTCTTCGGTGCCGAAGGGATCTCCTGCGAAGGGGTTGTCCAAGATCGACCTGGTGATCTCCGACTTCCGAAGCTCCGTTTGCGGGGGACCCTAATAAATAGTACCTAAAGAGTAGGATCCTTATTATATGGACCCCAAAATAAGATACCACTAACCTGGGGATCTCCGAAAGTCTCCCGAAGAGGCTTTTTAGGGCCCCAAAAAGGCACATAAGCAAGACTTAGGAAAGGGATATCCCATATAAACCCCTTATAGTGGAGCCCAATAAGGTAGGGATATCCCTATAAAATGCTTGTGCTTATGTGCGTTTTGGGTCCCAAAGCTTAAGGCTTCAGCACTCACGCTCGGAGAAGCCTTTGCGAGGTTCCTGGTCCACGGCGAGTAGCACTTTGGCTCAAGAGCTTCTCACATGGGTGGTTGTCAAAATTAGGATCCCTTTTTGGGTACTTACTACAATACGGCATCTATTTTTTAGGGTACCCAAAAAGGGACTCTAGTATTGATTCATACCCACATCAGTGAGCCCCCTCACATAAACGACTAGAAGCTCGCACTCATACACTCCAAGGGTAAAAGGAGGTACCCTTAATAAGGACCCTAGGTATATACCCTTAATATAGCCACTATATACCCATTATATAGCCCCATTATAGGGTAGGGGTCCCCTCTGATACACTTGATCGGAATCGCCATACAAGCAGAGTCCGTTCTCACGAGACCTTGAGGCCCTCGGGCTTAGGGTTTAGAGGTTTAGGGTTTAGGAGTTTAGGGTTCTTCGGGTTTAGGGTTTAGGGCTTAGGGTTTAGGAGTTTAGGGCTCTTCGGGTTTAGGGTTTAGGGCTTAGGGTTTAGAGGTATAGGGTTTAGGGGTTTAGGGCTCTTAGGGTTTAGGGTTTAGGGGTTTAGGAGTTTAGGGTTCTTAGGGTTTAGGGTTTAGGGGTTTAGGAGTTTAGGGTTCTTAGGGTTTTGGTAGCGTTTCCATAAGCTTAGGATTCTATGGCGCTTTATGGGGCCTGAAAAATTAGAATAGGGTTTGGTGGCATATTCTACAATAGTTACAATGAGGAAACACCAAAGGAGTCTATATAAGTATTTCGGGCCCTATATTACACAGTAGGATTCTCATGATAACGAGTCCAACAGAAACATCGACACTTCCTGAAGAATGGTTCATGAATAACAAAACCCTTTACACACGATACTCTCAAGTTACGCCAACAGCCTCCAAGCAAGATACCTTCAGTTTGAGGTGGATTTTGGCATAAACAAATCCGGATCCTCAGCAATGATATTGGTAGTTGAAATTCAGTTCTCCACAGCTCCGAGCGGCGTCGTCGTGCCCGCAGCGGTCCTCGTTTCGGCATCGCGTTTGAAGTGTATACGGTATGCACTTAATAGTGGCTGTTGCCCAACAGAGGATCAACACTACCCTAAACCCTCTAATTACCCCATATCTTCAACCCTAAACCCCCACCCATGAATAAACACTACCCTAAACCCTTGACCCAACCCCAAACCCATGAAGACCCCATTGATGCTGAAAAGACCCTCTAATTATGCTACTATGCCTTCAACCCT